ACGGAAATGTTGCCTGCAACTGTTGCTTTTGCTGCCGCTGGCAAAAGGCCAAGTGTTTTATGTGTGCAAACAACATTTTTCTTTGCCTTTGATAACGCTGAGCTCCCAGCTTTTACCCCCCATAATATCCCGAACAGAGCAAGCTTATAAAGGAGCTCTGTGTGGGCCGTTGAAAAGGAAACGAGCTTTTCCATTTTCCTGGTCAAGCAGAGCCCTAATGGCTGGGCAGGGAAACACGTTAGATTGAGTTACCATTTAAACTCAAGAGTGTAAATTTCTTCACTGTTTTTTTTTGCATAATCACGGCTACTAAATTGTTGTAGAAACACGAAAAAGCACTGAAAGTTCAGGCTGAATAAACAATTTTCCTATAATCCCACCGGAGTCGTAAACTTTCAATAGACCTTCCGGGGGGGCTTTATTTTTATTTCCCTCGGGATATTGGGAGCGAATTATAGGCACCTGAAACTTATAAATATGCATGAGCGGGCTTGCGGACGGGAGAGCTTCGTTTTGGGCACCGGAATGTCGGTTTCAGTCTTTCTCTTATTAATTTCGGGTCTTAATTGGCTGAGAGTTGGGAATTACTTGATAATTTTGGAAATCGTCTTACTAAGATTGAGGCTTCGAGTTGCTGAAATTTTATTTCAATGCGAGCTTTCGTTGAGTTTTACGCCTGAAATGGCAAAGCGGTCGAAAAGGGCCGGCGTCTGTTAAAAAATTCCCAAGTTTCAGACCAATCCATCAAAACAATTGAAAGTTTTTTCAGGTGTTGGTGAAGATGCAGGCTCCGTTTTAAATAAATTTCGGTGTAATTCGATTTTTGGTTGTATTTTTACGCGCCTCCATACTTGAGGCTCGACTAAAAGGGATGCAAAAAAATTGCGACTCGCAAAGCTATGCAAACAGTTGCAATTTTCACGAAGTGTTAACAAAGGATGAAGCTTCATCAATTTCATTTAAATGCGCGCTTCCGGTGTTTTTTGCAGAAACCGGCCAATTCAAGTCTGAATTGACAAAGCGCAGGCGATTGGTAGAAAATTCACAACTTCCAAACTAGTCTATAAAGAAAATTAATAATTTTCCCTACTATTAATAAAGATGAAAGCTCCATGATAAAAAAAATGCGGTGAACTACGAACCACGGTTGATTTTGTAGGCGCCCCCAAACTTGAGCCTCGATCAGAATGGCGCTTGAAACGCGCATCCGGATGCCAAAAAACTTGCGACTCAGAAAGCAGGATATGCAGGCTGTCGCAATTGTTAATAGAATGTTACTAAAGTCTAAAGCTTCAAGTTCATAAAGGTTAATAAAAATGCGAGCTTCGGTTGTTTTTTGAAAAACTGCCAAATTAAAGTCTGAAATGATAAAGCGCAGGCAGTTGTTAAAAAATTCAGAACTTCCAAACCACTCCCTGAGGACAATTGCAATGTTTTCCTAGTATTTCGCAAGGTCATGACTCCATGTCCAAAAAAATCCAGTAAACTTGGAGTCTGGGTTCACTTTTTACGCTCCTTCAAACTTGAGCCTCGATCATAAAGGCGCTTCAAACGCGCATCAGGATGCAAAAAAAATTACGACTTCCAAAGCAGGCGATGCAGGCTATTGAAATTTTTAAGAGAATGTTAATAAAGACTGCGGCTTTAAGCAGATGAAATTTGATTTAAATGCAAGCGTCCGTTATTTTTTGAAAAACCGACAAATTAAAGTCTGAAATGACAAAACGCTCAAAAAGCGCAAGCGGTTGGCAAAAAGCTCACAACTTCCAAACCACTCTAGCAAAACAATTGATATGTTTTCCTAGTATTTCTTAAGGTCGAAACTCCATGTCCAAGGAAAATGCGTTAAACTTGTATTCTGGGTTCACTTTTCCGCTCCTCCAAACTTGAGCCTCGATCATAAGGGCGCTTCAAACGCGCATCAGGATGCAAAAAAAAATGTGACTCCCAAACCAGGCCATGCTATTGAAATTTTTAAGAGAATGTTAATAAAGCCTGCGGCTTTAAGTAGATGAAATTTGATTTAAATGCAAGCTTCCGTTGTTTTTTGAAAAACCGGCAAATTAAAGTCTGGAATGACAAAACGCTCAAAAAGCGCAAGCGGTTGGCAAAAAGCTCACAACTTCCAAACCACTCGAGCAAAACAATTGATAGGTTTTCCTAGTCTTTCTTAAGGTCGAAACTCCATGTCCAAAGAAAGTGCGTTAAACTTGGATTATGGGTTCACTTTTTACGCTCCTCCAAACTTGAGCCTAGATCATAAGGGCGCTTCAAACGCGCATCAGGATGCAAAAACAATTGCGACTCCCAAAGCAGGCCATGCAGGCTATTGAAATTTTTAATAGAATGTTAATAAAGACTGCGGCTTTAAGTAGATGAAATTTGATTTAAATGCAAGCTTCCGTTATTTTTTGAAAAACCGGCAAACTAAAGTCTAAAATGACAAAACGCTCAAAAAGCGCAAGCGGTTGGCAAAAAGCTCGCAACTTCCAAACCACTCGCGCAAGACAATTAATATTTTTTCCCAATATTTCGCAGGGTCAAGACTGAATGCACAAAAGAAATCCGTTAAACTTGGATTCTGGGTTCACTTTTTACGCTCCTCCAAACTTGCGCTTCGATCATAAGGGCTCTTCAAACGCGCATCAGGATGCATAAAAAATTGCAACTCCCAAAGCAGACCATGCAGGCTATTGAAATTTTTAAGAAAATCTTAATAAAGACTGCGGCTTTAAGTAGATGAAATTTGATTTAAATGCAAGCTTCTGTTGTTTTTTGAAAAACCGGCAAACTAAAGTCTGAAATGACAAAACGCTCAAAAAGCGCAAGCGGTTGGCAAAAAGCTCACAACTTCCAAACCACTCTAGCAAAACAATTGATATGTATTCCTAGTCTTTCTTAAGGTCGAAACTCCATGTCCAAAGAAAATGCGCTAAACTTGGATTCTGGATTCACTTTTTACGCTCCTCCAAACTTGCGCTTCGATCATAAGGGCTCTTCAAACGCGCATTAGGATGCATAAAAAATTGCAACTCCCAAAGCAGACCATGCAGGCTATTGAAATTTTTAAGAGAATCTTRGTAAAGACTGCGGCTTTAAGTAGATGAAATTTGATTTAAATGYAAGCTTTTGTTATTTTTTGAAAAACCGACAAATTAAAGTCTGAAATGACAAAACGCTCAAAAAGCGCAACCGGTTGGAAAAAAGCTCATAACTTYCAAACCACTRGCGCAAGACAAATGCTATTTTTTCCTAGTATTTCGCAAGATCAAGACTCCATGTCCAAAAAAATCMGTTAAACGTGGATACTGGGTTCACTTTTTACGCTCCTCCAAACTTGAGCCTCGATCATAAGGGCGCTTCTAACGCGCATCAAGATGCAAAAAAAATTGCGACTCCCAAACCAGGCCATGCAGACTGTTACAATTTTTAACAGACTGTTATTAAAGTCTGAATCTTTAAGTCGGTAAAATTTGATTTCAATACGAGCTTCCGTTGTTTTCTGAAAAATCGTCAAAGAAAGTCTGAAATGGCAACACGCCCATAAAGCGCAGGCGGTTCTTAAAAAGTTTACAACTTCCAGACCACTTCATAAAGACAATTGCAATGTTTTCCTAGTATTTCGCCAAATCAACCCTCCATGCCAAAAAAAAATCGGTGAACGATTCGATCCTGGGTTGACTTTTTCGCTCCTGCAAACTTGACCCTCGATCACAAGAGCGCTTCAAACGAGCATCTGGATGCAAAAAAAATTGCGACTCCCAAACCCGGTCAAGCAGACAGTTGGATTTTTTACAAAATGTTGCTAAAAGGTGAAGCTTCAAGTTGTGGTAATTTGAATAAAATGCAAACATTGGTCGATTTTTGAAAAACCGTCAGAATGAAGTCTGAAATTACCAAGCGCATGCTATGCATCCAACCAATGCCATGCAGAGAATTGCAATTTTTCCTCCTACAGCTTTTTCCCTTATTCCTACACCATGTTCAATTAGGTTAATCAAGAAAGCCTGTAGGCAATATTCAGCTGTTTTCGCATAGCTCTTTAGCTGATTGAGCTGCTATTAAAGTCATGCGACCGGCGGGTGTTCGATTCAGGAAAAAGTTGCCGATGAAAAATGGATTTCTGAATATCGCATCGCATGATGTCCCAGTGTGTTGCTAATGATTCCATCCATAAAAGTCGCACTTATTGCTCATTATCCCGGAATTTTTTGCAACGAAGCGCCGCAAACGACGGCGGATTTACACAGGCTGATTCGAAAATACTCTGAAAAACTTGAGGAAGTCGCGCCTATTAATTTATTATATTTTAGTCAATAATGTTCAAGAAAAACATGGTGAAAAATCCAAAAATTATTCGGCTCTTTCATTGCCTGTTCATCGCAAACAAAAAAGCTCTCTGGAGTTTTCTTGGAACGGGGCTCATTTTCGAGTAAAAAATTTAAATCGCTTTAATGAACGACAGCCAACACTAATTAATCAAATGGAAGTTTGCGCCGTTTGCATAATCCATAGGAGTATGATTCGCCGCTTTTTGCATAATTGAGCATCAAGCAAAATTTTGCAAGTTCCAGTATTTTTACCAATTAAAACCCAGTCCAAACAGTCATCAGCGCTGAACGAATTTTAACATTTTTTCTTGAATTCTAAGTCATTGGGTCCAGAAGCTCCTTAGCAGACAAACACATGGACGCATTTCTCGCCTCACAAAACCGGCGAAAATCTAATAATGTTAAAAGCGTTTTTATGCGCTCTCCCTATCTGTGTTGGGAGAAAAAAGAGCTTTTACGTACGGTGTAACTCAATTTGGAGCCAACGCGTCAACCTACTTGGATCGCCTAATTTTCGGTCGTGATTTGCCGCTTTAGTTTCTACCTGATTCCGAACTTGGGTCGGAGCGCGTTTAATCAAGTTTACTACTCAATCCACTAACACTCCAAAGGTTCAACAGCAATCAAATTTACTGGTTTAATACTGAAAAGTGTTTTTTGGGGTTTCAGTACGGAGCAACTTCCAGGACCAACTTCCGCTGCAGGGTCAGCTCGCACTTCCGCTTCCTGCAGTTTGGCTTCTTCCAGGGAAAGTTCCACATCAGCACCCGGACCGACACCATTTCGGGTGCTGATGTTGGGTGGGCCTGCGGTAGGCAAATCGTCTTTGGTGTCGCAATTTATGACCAGCGAGTATCTGCATGCTTATGACACCAGCATAGGTAAGTCAATCAATTTSGTTTTCAAAAAAATTACTGCTGATTCCACTATTGAAGATGATTGAAGATGAATCGACTGAATCGCTGTGGATTCACCCCAATTGTTCGAGTTTTTCATGCGTATTTAGCGCAAATTTTCTGACMGAATCCCACTAATACTCCAACGCTTCTGCTGTTAGCCAATTAAAAACTTTGTTTTCCATTAAAAAGTTTCCCAGTTGACACGTGCTATCTGCGATAACTTTGCCATTAATCCCTGATATTCGTTCGAATTTTGGCACCGGATTTAACTGATTCCGATGTTGGCGTTAACTGGTAAATCATCTGCATAAGTTTAGCTGAAACTTTCAATTAATAGCGGTCATTTGCATTACAGGGCAATTTTATTAATTGAACCCGGAAATGCKGCTGGGATTAATCGAAATTGACAATTTATTGGTCGCATAATGGACWTTCCATAACGTAACCAGTAGCGTAAYTTACCAAGCTGCATTAAAAATTCATGAAAATCTAGAAACTGTGAAACACTTCTCCGGATTTTTAAGCCATCGYAGAAAGGAATTTTACAGACACATACATTTTRAACAGTGTCTTTAATTGTCGAAAACTCTGASACAAATCACATGTATAACCGGCGATTTAGCGCTTATAGGCCTGCCAGCTCGACCACAATATCATTGCGCTGTCAACRTTAGGGCCTACTATACGAGCAATCGCTGCCTAATCCGGAAACTTTCAAAACGAGCTWTGGGCGCGTGAAGTCAATAAGGTATTACAAGTTGAGCAAACCACCTCTGATGATGCAAGCCACTCGCTTTTGTGAAACGTTTGGAAGAAATTCGTCAKTCGCAATCAAAGACCGAAAKAACCCAACTAGTTTAATTTCCTAATTTTCTTTTGTCGGAAAGTTAATTGATGCGCTTTCATAAGTCACGGGAAATGGGGTAATTGAACTCTCGACTAGTGGTTTTATTTTCGTGCTGCTCTAACCCCCCGTAGAGCTTTTTCAGGAAAACACGGCAGAGCGCATTGTTTCTCACGAAAACCGATTTAGATAATCTTTTMTTCCATTTAAGTGATTGGCGTTGCGGGATTTTGCCCGTTTTGAAGACACACAACGGCTTAGTTCGCATTTAATCAGTTTTTAACCGGAACATTAAWGCCACGTAAACTAGCCGATAAGAAAATTGTGTTTTTGCTTCTTGTGAATTCTTCGYTATAATTCAATGTTTTTGGGCTGTTTTCTTTTACCGAAAAATCCCCCTTTGTTAACTTACTGTTTTGGTCATCCGTATGTATTGGATGCTCTTAGTGTGACATTCAAAAATATAAAAAAAGCGATTTTGAAATTAGGTTTTTTCCTAAACATACGCCCCTATTCTTTTCATGAAAGGAACATGAACTTCGGTTGAGTTGCAGTTTCAACTTACAAAGACTTCGCAAAAAAAAGACAAATATCAAAACATCGTGTCGCAATAGCAACTTGAGATTTAGAGACAATTTATAGAAAACCTATAGGAATGACTGCTGAAAATTGTGCAACAATCGCAAACTCAACTGATTTTTGACGACGTGGCAAAGTTGGGCCAAAAATCACCAAAATGCAAAATGCTTGATGAAGAAAATCTAACTCGCCAATTAGGGCAAGTAGCAACTTGAAATTTAAACCCGATTTATCGAAAACCTTTAGGAATGACTGTTCAAAATTGTGCAACAATCCCAAAGTGAACTGATTTTTCACAACCTTGCAAACGTGCGGCAAAAATCACCAAAATGCAAAAGTTTGCGCTTGATAAAGAAAATCTAACTCGAAAATTAGGGCAAGTAGCAACTTGAAATTTAAACACGATTTATCGAAAAACTGTAGGAGCGACTGTTCAAAAATGTACAACAATTCCAAAGTCAATTGATTTTTCACAACCTGTCAAACTTGGGCCTAAAATGGCCAAAATGCAAAAGTTTGCGCTTGGTAAAGAAGATTCTAACTCGAAAATTAGGGCAAGCGGCAACTTGAAATTTACACACGATTTATCAAACACCTTTCGGAATGACTGTTGAAAATTGTGCAACAATCCCAAAGTCAACTGATTTTTCACAACCTTTCAAACCTAAGCGTAAAATGACCAAAATGCAAAAATTTGCGCTTGGTAAAGAAGATTCTAACTCGAAAATTAGGGCAAGTGGCAACTTGAAATTTATACACAATTTATCGAAAACCTTTAGGAATGACTGTTGAAAATTGTGTAAGAATCCCAAAGTCAACGGATTTTTCACAACCTTGCAAACGTGGGCCTCAACTGGATAAAATGCAAAAGTTTGCGCATGGTAAAGAAAATTCTAACTCGAAAATTAGGGCAAGTAGCAACTTGAGATTTACACACGATTTATTAACAACCTTTAGGAATGACTGTTGAAAATTGTGCAAGAATCCCAAAGTCAACGGATTTCTCACAACCTTGCAAACTTGGGCCTTAAATGGCCAAAATGCAAAAGTTTGCGCTTGGTAAAGAAAACTCTAACTCGAAATTTAGGGCAAGTAGCAACTTGAAATTTAAACGCGATTTATCGAAAACGTTTAGCAATGACTGTTGAAAATTGTGCAAGAATCGGAAAGTCAACTGATTTTTCACAACGTGGCAAACTTGGGGCAAAAATCCCCAAAATGCAAAAGTTTGCGCTTGATAAAGAAAATCTAACTCGAAAGTTAGGGCAAGTAGCAACTTGCAATTTAGGCAGAATTTATCGAAAACCTTTATAAATGACCGTTGAAAATTGTGCAACAATCCAAAGTCAACTGATTTTTCACAACCTTTCAAACTTGGTGCTAAAATGACCAAAAACTCTAAATTTCGCGCTCCTCAAAAAAAATCGTACCTCGAAAACCAAAGCAACTAGTAACTCACAATTTAGACGCTATTTATGGAAAATATTTAGGAATAATTGCGGAAAATTTTACAACAATCCCAAGATTAACTGAGTTTTCAGAACCTTTCAAACTTGGGCCCAGAATGGCCCAAAAAAAAACTTCTAAACTTTGCGTGTGTTAAAAAAATCGAAAACTAAAGCAAAAAATCACTGCAGATTGAGGCACAATTTATTGAAAAATTTTAGCTATGAATATTCAAGATTGTGCAGCATTCCGAAAGTCAACTGATTTGTCACAACTTTGCAAACTTGGGCTTAAAATGACCAAACTTCAAACGTGCGCGCTTGCCAAAAAAAATTCTAACTCAGAAATTCGAACAAGTAGCAACTTGAAATTTAGACAGAATTTATTGAAAACATTTAGGAATAAATACGGAAAATTTTGCAACACTCCTATTGTCCACTGATTTTTCACATCCTTGCAAACTTGGGCCTAAAATGGCCAAAAATTAAAAATTTCGCGCTTCTCAAAAAAATCCTAACAATCCTAAAAAATTTGGACACTTTTCACAGGAAATATTTGGGAATATCTGCTAAAAATTGTGCCACAATAGCGATGTAAACTGATTTTTCACAGCCTTGCTGACTTAGGCGTAAAATGGGCAACAATTAAAAGTTTTGCTCTTGTCAAAAGAACTGCTAACTGGAAAACTAGAGCAAAATAATATTTTCGTACAATTTCTGGAAAACATTCAAACATTCAAAACGTGGGAAACTCTCGCTTATTTTTATATAGGGTGTTTAATGTAAAACTAGCGCCTTGTTCCAATTGACACACTTATTTCCACTCGGTGTTTAAAAATAAAATTGGCATCAAAACACTTTTTAGGAAGCAATTTGGAATTTTCCAATTCGTCTATTTAAAATGACGCGCTCAGCTTCATCTTTTACAATCCATTAATGTCGCCGTCCATTGAAAAAACAACTCATTTCGCTTCATTTTTAATGGAACTTTTTTACGAAGCAAATTTATTCGGATCAATTCAGCTATTATGTAAATCTATCCAAATTAAATCTGGAACGGATCGTTCCTAAGCCGAATAAATTGAAAATGCCAAAACGAATTTTATTCGTGATTGACATGGGACGTATTAACTCAGATGCCGATTTCCTATTGGCGGAAAACACGTGTGTGGGGCAAAAAATCATCGGGACATCTATATGAAATTTGGATGAATCGAGCAATTATTTGTCAGTTCAAATATATTTAAATGGGTTTTTAAGGCTGAAATCGGGAATGTTCCCGATGGAGTTTCCACCCACTCTTTCAATGTTTCGCATTTCCATAACAGTTGCTTAATGCATCAGTTTCCTTGTGTTCATTTTCGCCATTTCCATGTATTTCCATTCCAAAATAGCATTTGCTGTCCATGCGACTTGTTATTATTTACTATGCAAGACTAATGTTTTAATGTCAGCATTAACACGACTCGAATAAAATGAGACGTATTATGCATACAATGGCTGAATTGAATTATTTGGAATTGTAAATGATCGTCGTGTTTTTACGAACAACACGGAAAGCAAATTCAGATAATCGCCATAATTGGCAAATTAGCGTTGAACAAATGCGGAATATCTACGGTTTTAATATTCCTGGCTGTGTACAGTCGAACACTAACCGAATAATGGCCAAGACAACTTATAATTAAACCGTACTCTATCTCCAGGGACCGAAATAGTCTTGATAGTCCATTAGATGGGGAACATGGAACGTGAGGGATGAAATTTAATTTGCAATGGAAATTCATCGCTAGGCATGTCTGAATATCAAAAGCTATTCACGGCTTGCTTTTGCTATCACTGAATGTTTGGCTTTTCTCTTTCCATTCCTAAGAATTCGATTCCTGCACAGATGGGGAATTTTTGGTGCCCAAGAATGTTTTTTTGTGAGTTTCAACACCCTGTAAACGCAGAATTGCGGTAGTTGTTAAAAATCCTCCATACTGGAACTTTAAGCAGTGGATTTTGCACTGCATCCCTCAAGAGGCCATTCCTCGAGCCCCAGACAAGATTTAAGTTCACTACTTCCACAAACATTTAAAAGAAGCTTCACCTCATTCATGGTGTAAACTTGGGTAGAACGCAAAAACTATGAAGAATTGAATTTCCGATTGTGGCTTTCAGGGCATTTAAAGCAAGACGTCTGCTAACCGCTGGGTGAATAAAGGTAAAATTCTTCGGGGAGTTTCCCTGTAACTCATTTAGAAACTTTCAGCAGTGTTTTGCTTTTTCATGGCTTTTCAGTACATCTTTTAAAAGGCGATTTCTCAAGAACCATATGAGCTAGCAGCTTGTGGCTTGCAGCAGATGTGAAAGAAATCTTGCAGTAAATTGTGCTGAATTTACGCAAAATTCCTCGAGCAACTGCTTCGCAATGGACTCCGGAACTTTGGCCAGTTTTTGGCTATGTGTCGAGTTCGCACTATAGTCTTCAGGACTGCATTTCTCAATAACGAGAGGAACTATCGGTTTCGACAATATGCTCGCCTGTTCACAGAGCTTTGCCATAATTATTCACTAAATGTGGATACAAACCAGGAAAAGCCTGGTTTTTCAAATTTATTCCGGTATTTTGGACAGTTTTATAATTTTCTGCAGCTATTGCGCTTCAAACTCCAATCATTGCTGGAGAACCAGATGACATAACAGATTTCGGTTTCAAGCGCCTTCTAAAGAATGTAAATTTGGAAAGTTTTTTCACTTTGCGCTGTTTCGACACTGTTGCCTTGAGGAGGTCGTTTCTCAATAAGTAGGAAAGCTATTCTTTTGTGCCTTTTGGCGTCTTTTAAATAAAGCGTTGGTCTTGTTATTTGCCAATTTGGGTACGATCCAGAGAACGCGCTTTTAGTAATTACTTGATGAACTTCGTGAAAAATGTTTGGCTTTCCGAGGTTTTTGCACAACATCCTTCAACAGGCTATTGCTCAAGTGCTAGATATGATATCAGCTTTGGGCGTTTTGGGGCTGTCAAAAGAATGTTCGTGTTAATCATGTTGTAAATTTGGGAAAAATTCAGGAAAAACTCTATTTGCCATAAATTCCAGAAATTTGAAAAGTTTTTGGAATTTGCGCTGTTTTTGCACCATATTTGTCAAGAGTTAATTTTGTAATAACTCAGAAAGGTGGTCGATAGGCCGGTCATTTTATCATTTGAAGGAAGCTTTACTTTAAGTACCGGAGAAATTTCGCTACCATCCAGGAAACAGTGTCTTCAGAATAAATTACGGGACTTTGGATAGTTTTTTCGTTTTTCGCTCTTTTTGCACTACATTCTTCAAGAGGCGATTGCTCAAGAGTTACATCGGATATTAGCTTCTGACTATCCGCCCCTCTCAGAGAATCCTTCACGTTAAATAGACGGGAAATTTGGGCACAATGCCGACAAAAATTAAATTTCCATAAATTCGGGAAATTTGAAAATTTTTCGAATTTACACTGTTTTTGCACTATAGTCTTCAAGAGTGCAGTTCGAAATGTCGGCGAAATCTACCGATTTGCCGGTGATTTTATCCTTTAAGGGAAGCTTTGAGTTGAGTATTTGCGAAATTTCACTACCATCCAAGCAACGGGGCCTTAGGAATTAATTCCGGAACTTTGGATAACTTTTTCGCTTTTCGCTCTTTTTGCACTACATTCTTCAAGAAGCGATTGCTCAAGAGCTACGCTAGATATCACCTTATGACTTTCCGCCCCTGTCAGAGAATCCTTCGCGTTAAATAGACTGTAAATTTGGGCAAAATGCAGACAAAAATTGAATTTCCATAAATTCGAGACAATTGAAAATTTTTCGAATTTGCATTGTTTTTGCACTATAGTCTTCAAGAGTCCAGTTCGTAATGTCGAAGAAAGCTACAGATTTGCCGGTGATTTTGTCCTTTAAAGGGAGCTTTGCGTTGAGTATTGACGAAATTTGACTACCACCCGGGCAACGGGGCCTTAGAAATTAATTCCGGAACTTTGGATAACTTTTTGGCTTTTCGCTCTTTTTGTACTACATTTTTCAAGAAGCGATTGCTCAAGAGCTACGCCAGATATTACCTTATGACTTTCCGCCCCTGTCAGAGATTCCCTCGTGTTAAATAGACTGTAAATTTGGGCAAAATGCAGACAAAAATTGAATTTCCATAAATTCGAGAAAATTGAAAATTTTTCGAATTTGCACTGTTTTTGCACCAGAGTCTTCAAGAGTCCAGTTCGTAATGTCGAAGAAAGCTACAGATTTGCCGGTGATTTTATCCTTTAAAGGGAGCTTTGCGTTGAGTATTGACGAAATCTGACTACCATCCAGGCAACGGTGCCTTAGAAATTAATTCCGGAACTTTGGATAACTTTTTGGCTTTTCGATATTTTTGCACTACATTTTTCAAGAAGCGATTGCTCAAGAGCTACGCCAGATATTACCTTTTGACTTTCCGCCCCTGTCAGAGAATCCTTCGTGTTAAATAGACTGTAAATTTGGGCAAAATGCAGACAAAAATTGAATTTCCATAAATCCGAGAAAATTGAAAATTTTTCGAATTTGCATTGTTTTTGCACTATAGTCTTCAAGAGTCCAGTTCGTAATGTCGAAGAAAGCTACCGATTTGCCGGTGATTTTGTCCTTTAAGGGGAGCTTTGAGTTGAGTATTTGCGAAATTTGATTACCATCCAAGCAACGGGGACTTAAGAATGAATTCCGGAACTTTGGATAACTTCTTCGCTTGTCGGTCTTTTTGCACTACATTCTTCAAGAAGCGATTGGTAAAGAGCTACGCCAGATATCATCTTATGACTTTCCGCCCCTGTCAAAGAATCCTTCGCGTTAAATAGACTGTAAATTTGGGCAAAATGCAGACAAAAATTGAGTTTCCATAAATTCGGGAAAATTGAAAATTTTTCGAATTTGCACTGTTTTTGCACTATAGCCTTCAGGAGCCGATTTCTTAATATCACAGAATTCCATCAACCTGCGGATTATTTCATACTTTAAATGAAGCTTTACGTTAATTATGTGAGAAATTTTACTGTAATCCGGTTAACGACGTGTTCAGAATTAATTCTGGAACTTTGGACATGTTTTTGGCTTCTCGCGCTGTTTGCACTGCATCTTTCAAGAGGCAATTTCTCAACAACTTCTTCTGAATAAATTGTGGAACTGTACATTCTAGATTCTTCAAAAGAATATTTACATTAATTGCAAAACTAAGTGGGACCTGACGTTATACTCGGGAATTTAGGAAATTTCTAGAACAAGCCTTTGCTCATTAAACCGAAACGCAGTCTCTTTACATCAATCGACTTTCCCTGGACACTCGGAGATTTTCAAGTGCTGCATATTGAACCAGAATTTATGCCCTCTGAATAGAGTTAATTGACGACAAATTGCCTCAATCTCTGGACTGATGACTCTACAAGCAGAGAGTAAAACCGATAGGATCCAAACTTCCCAACTGGGCCATAATATGTGAAGTTTGACCAGCTCCTGTTTCGAATTTCACATCGTCGATTGAATAGTTCATTAGATGGATCCGGTTGTATCAATTTGAAATTTGTCTGTTTGCTATTGGCATTTAATATTGCGAGCATCCACACATGGATTATAGATTAAGTCGACCACTTTAAGCCAGTGTTTTGAGCGAAAAGAATCTTCTCAATGTAGAACTCAATTTTGCTACCTTAAAATTTGCTTTACAGAAATGTCGCATTTTCCGAGCTGCTGATACAGAAGCAAACAGACTAACTGAACGGTCCGCTTGCCGCCCGTTAATTAACTTTTAAAACTGGAACAAGCAATTACGTTAAACTGTTAAATTGGATTTGGAAAATTTAGATGTTAACGCCACTCCACAGTTGCCACTAAAACAATTTGAATGTCGTTTAATGGTCAGGTAAATTCGGACTAAATCAACCACTTGAAAGTACTCGACTGTGTCCATGGAGAGCCAGCAATTCAGTTGAATTTATCCGATTTAGCCAAAGAGTTTAGCAAACATTAATCAAGCCGAAATATGACTGTCAGCAACATCGACGAAGAAATAACTTTACCAGTCTCGAGACGAATACATAAATACTTATGGGGGGTGTTTACGGATAAACACCCGAACCTTTCGAGGGTCGCAACGCAAATGAAGCGAACATTTCGTTTTGCAGATTTTCGTTTTTGTTAGTCACGGTTATTCGTGTGTATGATTCGTTCGAACCAACTCGACTGAGTTATTTCCAAGATGAAGTTAAGGCTTTGGTAGTTTGATACGAGAGTGAATTTCACACGTTGTTTGCTGTGAGAGATTCGAAAGGAAAATTAATGAAAATCGGTTTAAACATCAAGTTTTTAAATAAAGTAGTGCAAAATAATTCCAGGAGAAAAGGCAAATTCCCCCCTAATCAAACAGCTCGAGTACAGCAGGGAGTTTAATTACGCCTCTTTTGTCAAATCGCACAAATTTGCGTTGCTTTTTAAGCATTATTTTCTAGGTCCAAGTCGGATCCAACGCCAAGATTTCGTTTGTTAATAAAGAACTCAATTAAACATGACCGGTCAGTTGCAGGTGGCTGACCGGGCGATTTCATTAATCAAGAAAAGCAGCTGGGAAAACCGATTAAAACCCGATTTTTCTTTCAATTCATTCCAGATGACGAAAGTGGGGAGAAGTCGGTGTCCGTTCTATTAGCTGGAGAGGAATCCGAACTGACATTCATCGATTTTGCCACCATGGATTTGTCGGTAAGTGAATTATCCGGCTTAATTTTAATATTAAGTTGCACTTACACCTGGCTAAAATACACAACCATTTTTTGGTAATTGTTCCAGCGCGAGCTTGAAATGTCGCAAATGTTTCGGTGCTAAGAGCTTTTTAAATCCACCCAGCGAATATTAATGGTTGGGGCTTCCTCAGTGAAGCCGACGTTTCTTTTCACAGCCGCACAATTACTGGTGAAAAATATCCAAGAGTGGCTTTTCTATGTCAGACCAAGGCTGGTTACATCATTAATAGCGTCTTAATATCAGCGCCATTTAACCGAAAGATATGATTATAATGAGAGCTCGGCCTCTAATAATGCTTCTAAATGAACGCTATCGTCTTTCAATTAAGCTCGAGAGCTCAAGGGAGAAAGATTCGGTTGATGGGCGAATTAGACAGTCGGATAAGCGAGAAGTGAGAAACCCTGAAAGAAAACGGCCACAGATTATATTCCACAGACAAATTGCGACGAATTCATCCAGAAATTTTAGAAAGTCATGGGGAAAGATCCAATTAAGAGAAATAACAGCTGCAATGTATCAAATGCCCTTAACGAAGTAGGGCGGAAACAAGAAGCGGAAACTCAAAATGAAAATGTCTATTTCCAACATCCGCACCATGACCTCCACTATATCAGAATTCGTTTGGCTTCAACTGAATAGGGATGTCGGACAGCAATAAATAGCTTACATCTAGACGACGTGACTGAGAAAAACGGCACTGTTTTATCAGCCAAATTGCTTTTATATCACACTCGTGAAGATAAAGCAACTTTCGCTCAGTGTTGGTCCCTAAAACTTGTCAGCGAACACCGTCTTAAAGGTAGCATTAATTTGCGAATAGAGACGTGGAGGAAAGACTAGTGTTTATACACGTTTATACACCGTTTCTATTGACTTTTCCGCCCTCCTTTAACGCTTTAAGCCACAGCAAAAATATGCCTTTGGGGGAATATTCGACATGTACAAAAATGTTTTTAATGCAGCGATTGGGCTTCTAATTTCATGTTGTTTAATTGCCAAAATTTTCCCCAAATTAACCCATTTTGGACATTAATTGGAAAGAAATTCACTCGTATAACCGGCGATTTCGCGCTTATAGGCCTGCCAGTTTGGCGACAATTACATGGCGCTGTCAAAGCAAGGGCCTACTATACTCGCAATTGCGGGCTGATCCGGAAACTTTCAGGAGAGGCAATGGGAATGCGACATGAATTTTGAATTTTTTCTTGTAAATAATGTAAAAGGTTTAAAAACCTTGTATAAGGGGACTAAAAAAATGGGGCGTGTTTTCATCTAATGATCATTTGAAACTGGATAAAAGATTACAGCCATAAGAAAATCACACTCTAAAATAGCTACCGTACCCAAATGTATAACCAGAATATTTTCCGTTTCAGCCGGATTCGCTGATAAAAAAATACAATGATCCGCATGCATACGCAGTGGTGTACAGCTGCGCAGATCGAGCCAGTTTTGACTGCGCGGAAAAAATCCTGCAAAACCTGTGGACGCTGGACACTATTGGCACAAAGGCTGTAATTTTGGTATCTAATAAGGCTGATTTGGTGCGTTCGAGAATGGTGACCACCGAAGGTAAGTTTTTATAGAAGCGATCCAATATTTTGTTGCATTAAATGAATAAGTTTCTGCTGCAACTCACGCCGATTTTGGCTCGAATGCATCGGGAAAAGTTTGAGTAAATAATCTTATTAAAAGTTGCGCTTAACTTCAACTAATTAAAAGCGCCAGATGTATAACTTCCGGCTCGAAGGACCAAAAGCAACAATGAAACTCTAGTAAAAGTGTCCGTGAAGTTTAATTCTGCAGCTGGAGGCAAAAATCTTGAAATAATCTGAAGTTCTATTTCTCTTAGTTGATGGTTTGGTTTTCGGTCAGAAAATCCGGCTCGAAGGACCAAACAAAAAGTATTGGCTTAATCGTAGCTGTAAAGGTTGTAATATTGCTAAGAAAACAGATTGGCGTTTGTTGATTATTTATTCAAACTACTCACTTTCAGTACCCCTTTTGTACAAAGGAAGCATCGCAGATTGAAATGCTGTCTTTTAATCACCTGCCATGCATTAACTCGTTTGAAGTTGCGTCATTCTAGACAAGCAATTCCTGTTTTGGATCTTCAGCTCACGTGAAACTGTTTTAACTTTCTCAGTGCTCAGCAGTGAAATCTTTAATTATTTCGTCTGTGCTCGAAATATAATTGCATTCGGTGTCCTTTGAAGAATCGCAACAATTTGCGAAATGCACTAATTGAACGAAATTACTTTCGCTGTAATCCGGAATATAAATGGTCGCAATAGTCTGATTAAATTTTAATGGACAAGTCGGGAACATCCTGCACCTGCAAGGAAGCTTCCGCTTTATCCTTAAAAAAATCGCTCCGTGATGAATTTTAAACAAAATCGGTGTTCGGGTGTTGTTTTTAGACGAGAAAAATGGAGCTTTCGACCTGGAAAAGCTGATGGGGCAAAAAAACGGTTTTGCCCAACTGTTTAATGAATTGGGAATTGCAATGCGACAGAAAATGTTGAAGGCAAAAAAGAAATTTTAAAGGAAAACAATGTTTTCCATCCACAAGGTTCAATCCCTAAGGTGTTGTCGTGTCCAAATAACATCAAATTGTTTTATCGATTGCGGGACCCGGCTCGAAGGACCAAAATTATTTTGCAACTATTGACACAGTAAACTGTAGATTTGGTGAGCGGAAGCGAAAAAATGTTCTGAACGTTTTCGAAAGCATAATTTGGCAAGAACGAGCTTTGGCTTAGAGGAGATCCCCATTTTTTCTCGCCCAGAAAAATGCCCCTATGCCTCCTCAGGGCTAATAAAAATTCACCATGTGCTCTAGTGGAAGCTTGACATATTTGAGCAAAAAATAAGTGCGCAAGTTTTACTCCAGGAGATTTTTTGAGGAACTTTAACGCTCACCAAGCGAGTTTCCTCTGTGTAAACTCATAATACTGTTGAGTCTTTCGGGCAGCTGAATACGTAGAATAATACGCGTCAAGCTGATCTGTAGTCGGTGGAAAATATCCAGACTAAAGCTGGATGTGCAACATCAGACAATGCAAGCCGAGCGACAAGTATTATATGATTATTCCTTTTGATCCCTTAGGGTATTATGTTTTATCAAAGGCTCAGGTGTTTAAAGCCCTGCAGAATTACCGCACATCGGGAGCAAATTAATGTTACTTTCACGTTTATTTGCCCCAGCAGCCGGACCTCAATGCGGTCTAAGGGTTGTTTGTAAGCGGAAATTCAAATGTCAACATCCGACTATTTACGGACAAGCCAGAAAAGCGTTTATGAAGAGAGCGGACGATCCTCCATGCATCATAGTTTAATGGATTATGAAGCGCGAATCCAGCTGCTTCCATTCCGTCTAATAATTAAAATGGATGTTGCGGCTTGACAAGATTAATAATCGCTTGTAGGTGGATGGGTATAGAAGAATAATCGCTCTCTCATGCATATGTAGCCGGTGACTCTGCGCAACTTCAGTTTGCGTTTTCTATTCAATACTGTCAATTCGAGTTCAATCACGGGAAATTTTCGGCAAAATTTAATTATGAACTTATTCGACGCTGCCATTAACCCAGTTTGGTGTTCAAGCGCAGCTGGAAATGATGAATTAAACCGCTTTGTTCGGAATTATTGATTTCAATCAAATTATTCGTGTTATGCATGTAACTAATGCCGTTTGACAACGTTTAATGCATGCTTTCGACCAAGCAAATGTTGATTGATTTATTGCACTGATTATTGAGAGAGACTCACAGGCTGAGTGACACGAGATTATTTAATAATCTTACTGGTAAAAGTGACGGGCACTGGTAAAGCCCAAATCAACTATTCAACCGCAAGTTTTGATCAAATGTAGATTGGAACTGAAGAGCTTTTGGCGCCTCGTACAGCCCAAAAAATATCGATTAAAACAACTAAACTTCTGACGATTTTGCTTTGCAAAAGCTGCGCTGTTGATGCCCTAAGTCGTAATTTAACCATGTTGTAATGGCCCAACTTTTTTCCAATTTAGCTCACGTTCATATCAGCTTTTTAACTTTGTCATCTTCAACGCATTGTCTTTAATTGTCGAAAATCATCGCGCAATTACATCTGTATAACCGGCGATTTAGCGCTTGTAGGCCTGCCAGTTTGCCGACTTTTACATTGCGCTGTCAAAAAATGGGCCTACTATACGAGCAAGCGCGGGCTAATCCGGAAACCTTCAAAACCTCCTTTCCGATTGCCAAGTGAATTTAAGACTCCAAAGTCCTAACTCTGAAGATGTTCACCACTCTTGCTGCGAAACGTCAGTGAGATATTAACTAGTTTCACTCACAAGTTTGAAATGGGCGTTCAACGTTTCTAACCCTTGAAAGACTATTTGGAAATAATCACTTGGAAAAATCAGTAAAAACGGCATTTTGTAATATAAAAAATGCTTTAAAATTTGCCTGCGACCGGTTCAATTTAAGGGCGAATATGATTTTGTTAAAATGCATAATTTTTAAGGAAGCGGGCCAATTAATCACTGAAAGTGCTGCTTTCAGCAGCTGGAAAGTCGTTAACTTTTTCCAATGTCTGCCATTAATTTTTAATTCCAGTATCAAAGAGTCCAAGGTGAAAAAATTGCGAACTTTGGCGCGATAATTATTCGCCAATAAAAGTCGATGCAATTTGCGCCAGAGTTGAGGAAACTTTCCTTAAACGAAAACTTTCGTCTCTTGATCTTGACTTATTTTTTGTCTTGTTTTTTATTTATCTTTGACAATGAAGCAAATCAAATTGCCAGAAGCAGGTCCAACCGTCTCAAGAAAATTAAAATTTATGCCTTCTTTCGGTTTTTCAAAGCTTCAAGTTTAAGCTTCTCATTTTTGAGGCCTAAAATGAAATGAATCGAGCTCCTGGTTGAGAATGAAACTATCATCATTTGCACAATTCAGTGTCTTTAATAACGAGTAGAAATTTCAAGTTGCAACTTGCTAACGTTCTGAAGTAAGACACTTGGGACGGTAAACGAAATGGACTTATCTGGAAGACTATGGAAGTCTGTTATTAATCGAGTGGCTGCTGGTTATGAGTGAAACTTTCAGTATTTATTAACCGGACTGTCTTCTATAATCTGTGAAAAGCTCAAGTAGCTACAGAATCACGTTTGGAAGTACGAATTATCAGTAAACAGGCGAGCCAAAAGGGCACCAAACTAGTTTCTAGCGCAAGTTTTGAACATCCAGGAAAATTCGAACTGGCTCTGGTTTTGAAGGAAACTTCTGGTTTATATACCTAAGTTTCCTCTATAACGTGTGGGCATTTCAAGTAGCTACTTCATGGCGTTTGCATCTGAAGCATTTAAAAATGCAAACTTGCCGGATTGAAAATAGTCAAATTTTTGGTGCAGTTTTTGAAACTTTCTCAAAACTCCCGCTGGTGTGGGTTTAAAACCAAACTTCCCATGTGTATCCACTTGGGTTTTCTCTATCACGAGTGAAAATTTCGGATTGCTGCGTGCAGAAATTTGGATGTGAGGCACTTAAGGAGGCAGACATGCCGCATGGAAAACAGTCTTGTTTCTGGTTTAATTTGCGCGACTTTTTAGTCTTCGCTCTTAAAAAAGAATGGCCAAAGTCCTCGGCTTCGTAACACGCTAATCGGGCAAGTGAAGCGTTTTCTGCAGTATTCGCTTAATGAATTTTTCCGGTTCTCATTGCACCCAAAACTAAGATCATCTTCACCAAGATCCATTCATTAGGAAGCCCCTGTCTGCTCTTCCCCCAAATCAGTTTAAACCCTTACAAATCCTCACAATAATTAATAGCTTATTTGGTGACTATGTCGGTTATTCAGCTGCATAATTGCTTGCGCCCAGAACAGCTGCCAAGGCATTTTAGAGGAACAGGCGAAATGGAAAGTGTTAAGTGGAGGAAAATTAATTGCGTTTCATGGCTCTTTACGCCCCGTTTTGACATGGTGATAATGTTATTTTCCGCCTAAGTGAAGCTAATCCATTTAAAACTGTTTATGGAGCTATAGGCGTTTCGTACTTTAACCAAATGTTTCAATTTCTCCATTTCTTTGCTGTATTAGTGCAAGGAACAAGAGTATGTTGAAGCTGAAGCTGTGACCAAAAATCACAACTGGGAAATAATGGCAGAAACAGTGCAATCCTGGATTTCCTCCTGCAGAAACTCCCTTGAATCCCCACAGGGAAACTCGCCACTCATTTTTATTCGCCTTTAATTACTGGTTTCCATTAATCAGCCCTCAGCCAACAATTACCGGACACAAGTAAGCTTGTGACCAGAAAACAATGCGAACTGACCCTTTAGGTGGCCCTTGCTAAATCATTTTTATGGTGTTGTAGAGCAAAAGCTCGGCCCCCATTGTTACATTCAAGGCTAAAGTAGAAACTTTTCTCATAAAAAGCTGAAAGCCCATTACGCGTTACGAACAGCTCTTTTTACGATTTAGGGCCAGCCGAAGGGTCACTCTGGATCTCCCTTTGCACATGGATGGTTTGACCGAGCAAACCTCATGCGGACGGGAATGCAATCAAAAAGATTGCTTAAGCCTTCCTTTATACGGGATATTTCTGCTATTGATAGTGGGCTGGTTGGATGGAAAATGGCATGTTAGTTTAGGTCGAGGAATCCGGATTTTTGTGCCCTTTGAAGGGACCAAATGGGGGTCTTCTCTGGTTGGTTGCACTGACAAATTTTGATCAACTTTGGGATTGGATACATTCTGACTGCTGCGAGCGATTCTGCTTCTGATTGAAGCGTTATTTAGTGCAATTCTTGCTCCCTTAGTGCGAGTTTTGGCAAAAAATTGGTGGGCGAGATAAAGTTGCTACAGGGAGGCAAATGGAACAGTGCGAATTCGGTGAGAGTGAGAGTTCAGCGTGTTTCCAGTTGGGCAAAAAAACATTTTTTTTGCATTTCAGTGCCACAAGCATGAAGATCGACCTGATATCGCTAAAAACGTTTTTGAACTTTTTGTTCATCTGGTTTATTTACACAGTGGCCTTAAAAAAGTTACTATTGGTTTTTGCCTTTTTGTAGCCGCCCTGTAGCCATCTGATGGGTGGTTCCAAATTTTTACCAAACCACTCGCTAATGGCAAAAGACTCGGGCTTAAAAACGCCTCAAACAGAAACCAAATCGCTCCAGGCAATCAGAACTTATCCAGCAGCAAAGTTAGGGCAAATTTGGCCGCGTAAACAGCATTTTATTGTGCAATTTGAGCGGTCTAGAAGTAATTTTGCGTAAAAAGTCGCTTTATCAAAGCCGGTTGCATCAAGTCAAAGAGTCCAACACCAATGGAACTTGACCTTATTATTATAATTATTTGTCCTGTTTACTTCGCTAATCGGTTGGAGCGCGAGAAATAATTAGAAAGCCGATCCAAAGTGCTCTCATAGTTAACTAAGTGGGTCTCTTTGGAGGAATTGAGCGTGGAGCGTTTTCGAAATAACGCAATTAGAATTTCGGTGATATTTTCGGCGACATTTCGTAAATCCAATTTCCCAACACTTCCAAAGGGTGAAAAATTCGGTTGGGGATTTCGGGTTTCCAGTCGAAAAGTTCAAATATTTAGCTGAATACGCCCGAAACACTCCAGCACAAGAACTCTCTTTAATCGATTTTTGCCGCCAGGTTCTTTACGGGGTTTAACTGTTTTTTCAGGAGTTTTTATTTCACTTTTTGTTGACTGGTTTTGCCCAAAAATCTACAACCTTTTGTTAGTTTGGGTTAGTTTCGGTTTACAATCAAATTCGTTTTTTTTTCCTTTTTTTATGCGTTTGAGGATTAATTTGGGTATCAGATCCCAACAATTGATTGCATATTTCAAAGCGTCTGTGAGTGAAATCCTAATCCTAATTTGGTAAATTTTGTTGATTTTGTGATTGGCTATCAAAAAGGCTCTTAGGACTGTAGCGATATTTTCACCCGTTTCGCAGATATGAGGTTTTTAAACATTCAGACCCACAAAAGGGGGCGAAGCCCCATTCGTTTATTTTTTTTAACCCCATTCGTTTATTTAAAAGAAAAATTAATTTTCAACCAAATCCTTTTTCTTCTTTCAACAGCACCATGCTGAGATGCAATTTTAAACTGTTTTAAATTCTCGTTAGTCCCGTGCTTGAGTTAAATCGTATTCAAATTTATCGCCGAACCGTTTTAAGGGCATATCGAATTTTAAAGGCGCCTGTTTTGCGAAATCGGATTTCGATTTCAGTTACACCGACGAACTTTTATGCATCTTAAACGCAATTTTTATTTCCGCTGTTTACTGTTCATTCGTGCAAGAAATGCAAAGCTGCTTAGAAAAGCTGCAAAATGTAATTCCCAGTCTTTTGTTTCTGTCTTTAATGGGGATTTCTTTGTTTCAGAAGGTAAATCGATGGCAACAGCGTACGACTGCAAATACATAGAGACATCTGTGGGCATCAATCACAACGTCGATGAACTATTGGTGGGAATTTTGACGCAAATTCGACTGAAGCTCGAAAATCCCGAGAGATCGCGAGACTTGTTCCGGAAGCGCAGCTCTTCGAAGAAGAACCTGCACCGGAACCGATCACCGGCTTCCGGTGCCGCTACTCCCACCACCGGAAGTGCACAAAACTCGCCAAAAAAATACCGAGGTAAATTAAACACTTCTTGTAGAAGCTTCCATACCATCCGATACAAAGAGCTTGTAAATTTCAAATGGAGACTCACGTTCAAATTCCCCCTTACAACGAATAAATTGCTACAAATTACGGCTGTGTTCGTATTTTTCAACTCTTGTCATGGCAAATTGGTTCTACCAGATAAAATTGCTATTTGCCCTTATTTTTGGCGAAGAGCTTTGCGGCGGAACGGAATTTAAATAAACGCCTTTGCGTTTTTTTGGTGAGCTATTGACTAAACTTTGGATGAACATGAGAAGAGAACCGTATATAAATAAGCGCCAAAATGGTTGAAGTTATGAACATCAAGGTTGCTGCATTCATTCAAAATTACAGCTTTTAATCTGAATTAATTAAAGTGTGATACTTCCATACTGGCCATTCTTTTTGGGATCAGTAATTTTAATTGCTGCAAAACATTGCGAAAATACGCAAGTATAACCGGCGATTTAGCGCTTATAGGCCTGCCAGTTTGACATCAATTACATGGCGCTGTCCAAAAATGGGCCTACTATCCGAGCAATCGCGGGCTAATCCGGAAACTTTTATGTCCGATATTGGGAAAGCGAACTGAATTTGCTTTTTCAAATTGCCCCAAACACGGTGTGCAAGCAAAACTCTCACTTCAGTGACAAATGGATTCAAATAAGTGTCTCTTATCGCAACAAATTCTAGAAACTGATAATTTTTTCGGGCTTTTAGGCCGTTGTGGTCATCCTGGCGTTTTTAGAGGGGCGCTACTACGAACGAAACAGCTCTGAAGATGTAAATTCCTCGTGCATGCGAAACTTGGATAAACAATATTTTCCACGCCGGCCTGAAGGCCCGAAGATCTCACGAGTTTCAAGCAATGTCGACGAAAGTCTAACTGTTCATAGTTTAGTATCGCTTAAGCTTAAGGAATGGATGCAAAAATAACAGGAAACAATGAACCAATAAAGAACAAACAGGGAATAAGCAAAACTAAATCAAGATTAATTTGTCGTTCTAATCGACATTTTATGCGCTTCCATGTCGCCTACAAATCACCGATTGCGCCTCCACATTACCTTTGAGGCATCTTGCCGCCGATATAAGCGAAACGTCCGCTCAAAATACTATATAGAATAATGACACTATTAAAGCGTATAACCTACGATTTTCTTCAAGGCGTCTGAGCGAAACTAGTCGTAAAATTAAAGCACGTTTAAGAGACTTTACTTGGCTAATAAAGTTTAAAATGGTGATAATTTGCGCGGTTTAATTCTCAGAAGAGCCACTTTGGTATGAGCTTTTTCATCTGACGTCAAAATCTGTTAATTTTGGGCTCCACTAGAAATGGTTTCTAGACTATTCGCCCTCATCAGCTGGGTTGAGCCTGAAGATAACACTAGCGAAATATGTACTGTTTAAGATACGAAATGTTTGCCTTGTTTACAACCGAACTTGAGATTAATAATGAACATAAAAATAAGTTATAAAATGTTATGATTAACGAGTGTTATAAAGCAATTTTAGGGCCTTGAAGCGCCAGGAAAGAGATAATAAATCTGCTGAGAATCATCAAAAATCGAAATTAAGAGCTAAAAAGGAGCACAGTGTAATGGCGAGGTTTTAGGAATTAACCGAAAAAAGTTGTTTATTTTTCAAGCGCTTTTTTGGTCATCGAAGCACCTGCAATTCGAAAATTAAACCGAAGTTTGCGAAAAGGACTTTGAGCTAATTTAAGGAGAATTTAGGCTAATTGAGTGATTTTTGCTGATCTTTTTGTTTGTTTCAGGTAGTCGGACATCGGCCAGCTTGAAAGTGCGCAGTTTATTAGGGAAAGTTTGGGCTCGAGATAGTAAATCAAAATCGTGCGAAAATCTCCACGTCTTGTAAAATCAAACCCGTTTGTTTTCCTCAAGTCGCTATTTTAGGTTTCGAGTTCCTTATTGCTATAGTCTTTTATACTTAGTGTAAGTTAGTTAATTGCAGTCAGTTTTCCCTACCAGATAATATTTTATAATCCAGTAAAAATGATCGGAAACCATTAAGAAATTAGCAAAGTGGTTGTTAACGACAATCATTTTTGTTCCTTCCGCAATTTAGATAGTGGTTTCTATATAATTCTTACAACCACAAAGCTAATATATTTTTACTTAATTTACCTACAAATCTTGTCCAAAACAACTTAAAAAAATTCATATTGAATAATTCGTCGGGTCATTTTTCTAGTGTTTCTCGTGTTTTTTCACTTAACCTTTGGACGATCATGAGACCATCTAAAACACCAATTTGAAAAATAATATTTTTTTAACTAACTAAAATGAATGGCAAAATCGATTACAACTGTTTGGTGATTTCGTTTAGCGAGTATTGTAGATGATAGTGTAAAAATACTAGACCTGCTAAGGTGTTTGTAAAAACTGGTTCCTTTCAATCGGCATGAAGCCGGGAGGAAGTGTAATTATTTAAATAATAGCCAACAAACACTTTAGCAGACATTTGAAAATATTACAAATAAATTAAGTATCAGGATGAATACGCTTAAACTTCACCAGTTTTTATATATCAGAAAACAGGGTGTTCCAAATATTTTACAATTTAGATTAGGCAATGATTATTAATAATTAAGAGAATTAAGAAGCTGTTTTATTGTTACTAGTTGAATGTGCGTGTTTTACTATTAGTTGATATTGTCGACTTGTTTGCGTTTATCCATAAGAGTTGCCAAATATATTTTCACATAATTTTATAGACGTTGTTGGGTTTAATGTGAAATAACTAACTGTCTAAATTTACTAACTGATTTAGTTTTTTTCTTCTCCTTTTGAGGCTTTCAATCTCATTTGCAATGTTTAATATTAAATGTTATAGATTTAACAGCATATATAATCAATTTGGGTCCATGTCTTTTCATCGTAGAAATAGCTGTAGGATTTTACTGCTAGCCGACAATGGTTTTAGCAAAAGCGAGGTATAGCTTTAACAAAGGAGATTATCTTTACATTTTAGTGTACATAGAGGTAGGTAGATGTTTTTAACTTATTCTCAAACAGTATTAGTAGACGACTGTGATGGTTTACATACAATCAGCGAACAAAGCTGAGGAATATTGAAAATACTTGAGAAAGTCTCTGGGTGGAAGTTCATTTTTGTTTGCTCAACAGGTTTTCCAAATTCTAAGAAAGGTTATCAATTTTTCAAGGTGCTACATGTAATGTGAACGTCCATTAAAACGTAAAAAAACTCATTTATTTGCCAAAACTGACCGCATTTTGAGGGTTTGCAGCCTATTTTCCAAAATTATTGTGCTTTTTGGTGGATTTGATAAAAAGTCACAGTTCGTTCTAGTTTGGAGGTCAAGGATTTTCAGCTCTTTTTTCGTCCAAGACATTAAATTAACCGCTAAATCTAACCAATCTAAACAATACTACAATTTCCTTTTTCTGTCAAGTTTTTAATTTTAGAGCTGTTCAGCCATTCTTGCACTTGTCATTCTCCCCGTTCCTCAACGTTCACGCAGATATCTGAATGCGGACTTCAGTAATAGATAAATAAAGCTTTAGTTAAAACACCTCGTTAATTTTTCTTCATTCGAATGAGTCGTTGAATTCATATGAATCGATAACATTTTTGAAGTTTTGAGGGGTTTGGACATTCTTGCACTCTCAAGTGCTTTTTCTCATTCCTGAACATCCAGGCCCGATATTCGAATGCGGACTTTAGTAGTAGATAAACTGATCTTTACTGGAGAATTCTGGTGAATTTTGCTTCATTTGCATGAGTAGTTGAATTTATATGAATCTATAGAAAATTTAAAGTTTTGCGCGGTTTAGTCATTTTTGCATTGTCACCCACTTTTCTTCATTCCTCAACAACTAAGCCAGATATCAGGACGGGGACCTTAGCAAAAGATAAGCTAAGCTTGACTTAACGCTTGGTTTTAATTTGGCCTCGATTGAGTCAGTGGTTTAATTTATATAGATCGATTAAGTTTTTGAAGTTTTGAGGAGTTTGGACATTCTTGCACTCTCAAGCGCTTTTTCTCATTCCTGAACATCCAGGCCCGATATTCGAATGTGGACTTTAGTAGTAGATAAACTGATCTTTACTGGAGATTTCTGGTGAATTTTGCTTCATTTGCATGAGTAGTTGAATTTATATGAATCTATACAAAATTTGAAGTTTTGCGCAGTTTAGTCATTTTTTCATTGTCACCCATTTTTCTTCATTCCTCACCAACTAAGCCAGATATCAGGACGGGGACCTCAGCAAAAGATAAGCTAAGCTTGACTTAACACTTGGTTTTAATTTGGCTTCGATTGAGAGAGTGGTTTAATTTATATAGATCGATTAAGTTTTTGAAGTTTTGAGGAGTTTGGACATTCTTGCACTCTCATGTGCTTTTTCTCATTCCTGAACATCCAGGCCCGATATTCGAAAGCATACTTTAGTAGTAGATAAAGTGATCTTTACTGGAGATTTCTGGGGAATTTTGCTTCATTTGCATGAGTAGTTGAATTTATATGAATCTATACAAAATTTGAAGTTGGCTTAAAACGTGCTGTTAATTTGGCTTCCATTGAACAAGTCAGTGACTTTTGATGAATTTATAAAGTTAAAGTTAAAAAAATGTTGTGAAAATCGTTCGTGAGATTGTATGTAAATCATAACAAGCAATTAATTAATTAAATAAATATGAGTAATATCAAAAAAGTACTATTTAAGAATTCAGTAAACAGTTGACACTATCAAGCTGTAATTTTTATTACGACGGGAAAGTGAGCTAAGGTAAATTTCGTGAATTGAAGAGAAATTAAATTGTTTAATAGTATTAAATTGCAACAGATCCGTAACATTTGTAAATTACGTGAAAGCTATAGACGCAATTGTCAAACACGTCCATACAAATCAAGTATTTGGTTAAGTGCGAAATTTGCGAAAAACCGAAGCAGCTTTTTCGCGAAGTTTCGCCCAAAGATATTTTGACAAACTGACCAATTTTTGTGCCTTTGTTAGGCCTGGCTAGGTATCTATTACGGCGTGAATTGGGGTATTAGAACAGCCGGCTTTAATTTTAGATTTTCCTCATCAGGTTTTTGAAATCAAATTTGAGTACTCAGACCAAATATGTTAAATTCCTGCCCTTCCTGCTAACGCCTTCCAATCCCCATGCTTATTCCCTAGGGACCATTGCACCTGTGAAATTGCTTAAAACTTGTTTTTTCCGTCTTGTCAGTGTCGCGTTAAGCCTTCGAAGAAGTTCGGAAATTCGGGTGTACAAGCAGTAGATTAGAAATTCGGTTTTTCATTTTCGTCGTTTTCCAGCAATTTGCGCTCGGACTGAACAATATTTAAGTCCCAACCTTTCGGATGTTGGCTCGTTTTCACTGGTCCAAAAAACCAAAAAAAGCAGAAGTCTGGCCAGAGAATTCAAATTTCGCATTATCTACCAGATTTAGAAGCTAGATACTTTGTTCAGTGGTTTTTTGGAAGGATTGCGCAAAATGAGTAAAGCACACTTTTCAAAAAAATACCGACAGTAGCGAGCAAATATTGCAATTGAGCAAAAAATTGGAAATTTGGTGCAAGAAGATTTTTCGTTTGAATCAAGTTAATGGCAAAGTTTAGTAGAAGGAGACCTTTTAAGCCTTAAACCTGTTGCGGTTTGAAAACCGCAAGCTTTTTTGATTGAGCAAAGGATTGTGGACTAATTAAATGAAACAACAACTGAAGAAAAGTTTGAGAAAAATATTGAAATTTCCTCAAAACACTCAAAGTTTTTAGGAGCTTTTGAGCATCGCTTGCATTCCGTCCATCGATTGTCGCTATTAACTTTGATCCTGCTGCTGTTTTCCAGGCTCTTTCTATTGTCGCCTTTCACTTCATCCATTTTCTCCTGTTTTTTGCTTAGATTTTTTCGATGGTTAAAATGGTTTATGCAGCCCAAATTAAGTCGACAGCATTTGCAACTCTGTGATTTCTCTTACTTTGATCTCGCCTAAAGTAAAGTAGACAATTTTCTGTGAAATCGTGTGGTGCAGATGGGGGCGAAAAATTATGTGCGAAAGTTTGCAATTTTTTCTCAGTTCCTTCCTGAAATGACGCTTTTTGGAAAATTGAAAGGAAATGAAGCGCATCAAACTACCAATTTTATGAAGCAATGTAAACTAGTCTCGTTGTAGAAATTGGAAAATCCGAAATTGTATAGCAATAAATTAAGAATAATTTTGCATAAACAAGTCAACATTTAAAATGATCATTTATGGCAAGAGTAATTGTTGTTAATGTATTTTACTATCTTGTGTAATTAGATATATATTATATATACATGCGATCATACATTACCAGTATTTTCAATAACAATTATTAAAAAATAAGCGTAATAATCACAATTACCTTATTATCATGCACAGTTTGGAATTTTAAAATTTGTAAATTTATATTCAATTAAACTTAAGTAGGAACCTAGAATTTATTATGTATGGAATAATATTTATATATATTTGCTGTGAAGTGTTGTTTTATTCCTTAATTTTGCCTTCAAAAACCCAATTCATACACAACAGTCCCGTTAGGTACGAAATGTGAACAGACAGGCTTTCAGCTCATTGTTTTTCCTCTTATTTCGAATCACATTACGGAACTGAGATGCAACAGAAAAACTGTTAGAAAATCACACTTTGCAGATAAGTAGGCAGTTTGCGTTAATCTCAAATGCAGTCATTGAACAGAACTGCACTTGCTGGCATAATGGCATTAATAATTGCTGTTTGCCGCATGAATGGGATTCTTAGAACAAATAGAGATCCTAAATGTATAATATAAGAGCTAATTATACTGCGGCCCGGCATTTCCGCATAGCTCGAAAATGAACTTCTTCAGAAGGCCCCCCGAGGTTAATTAGCCTTATGAAACCCATGCATCTTCAGAAATTAATTTTTTTTCGGTTGCCAAGTGGACTGGAATAAATTACGCCACTCTAATAGCCCGATAATCAGTGTTTCCAAAGAGAAAATACTATTTATTTCATTTGGCGTTACACGGTGGTTCTATCGATCGTTTACTCGAAAGAACTGTTGTTTTATGGTTTATTTTACGGCGACCTACTTGAATTTTACCGAAGTAGGTGAAGTGTGTGCATGTCCGCTATACGTTATTCGGTTTTTCTTCTTCCGTCCCGTTCGAACTCAACAATGGAAAGGTCCTAACGACAATTTCACTCACTGCCAGATCGATCGCTTCGACATCGAATGCCAATTTGCTACTCAAACTGGAAAAAATCGTTTGTTTTCTGTTGCTACTTGAACTGCTTTTACTGGGAATTGGACTAGCAAAGGTGTAAAGTCTGGGGATTTCGGAGGCCACCAGCAGGAAAACTCCCCTAATTCTGGAGCTGGTCGTTGCTTCCTCTTCCAAAAGATCCAGAATATTAACTGCTTCTTCAAAGCTGTTCTTCTCTGGGAAGCTCTAACATTCCCGACACAGAACCGAGGAAAAATCTAAACTTTTTGTTTGCATTCAATTTTTAAGTATTTATTAAGTCTCACGTGCAAAATGGCTACTTCCCGAAGAAAAAGTCGCTTGATTCTTCAACTACACTGAGAGAAAGTTTCAAGGCGTTGGTGAAAAAAGTGCAGATTCTACAATGTTCGTTCAAAGAGCTTTCGAAGTCCAAAACTGATTGGCCTCACTCGCGGCTTTGACGCTTAACGTTAGTTTAACCGATTTTTTCGTCAATAGAAGCTGAAAGACT